ACCATACCTAATTCCGAGAACAGAAAAAGGTGAACAGAGAAAGGTGTACAAAGAACGTGTTACTGAATCAAGTGTTACCAACGTAATTTACAAAATACATAACCTATTTGTTTTTCTTTTGATGTTGGCAAAAACCAACTAGTTATTGAATCAAGCAATTACAAATGACTTGGAGCAAAAAAGTAAATGACGAAAATATTATAAAGAAGTCCCCTTTTATCGAGTTGACATGTCTGACATTATCAGCTACCATGTGCCATAATTAAATTTAAATGACATAAAAACCCAGTTGTTTAATCGGTTTTATTTAAAGGTGCGATAATCATACGAACAAATTTATAATTGTTCGCAAATTGACTAATTATGATCGAATGATTAACGATTTGAATTTTCAAACAGAAAAACTAAAAACGACCCATTCAGTCGAATGCACCCATTCAATGGCAGTTTTGTGAATCATTTTTTTGTGTACAGGTACATGTGATACGAGGCCACACCTTCATTTCAAAATGTTGCTTCTCAGGACAGTAAACAGATATAAATTTATCACGTATAGGAACAAGGAAATAAAAGTTCTCCGCTCCGCTTCCTGTTCTCTTTAAAAATTACAGAAGGTAGTAAAACATTTGTCGACGGTCCTTCCTGTTTAACTTTATGCCAATTTGACTGCATACAGCGGGGTCATATTCTAAATATCTTTTATCGTTTTTTACAGACTCCGCATGTGTGTATGTGTGTGTGACGAAAACTGACGAACTTGAGAACAAGTTCTCAACTCGATTCAAACTTGATAACAAGTCTGATCGATAGGGTGAACACTGTGAACATATATTGAACGGATTGCCTATATCAGTATTATTACTGGTGTTTGGCTTTGTACATAGCGTATCAGTAACTCGTAAAGAAAGGGCAGGAATTTGTGAACTGAATTAAAATGTTACAGTTCACTATATACACTTCGATTATTTTAACTTCACCGATGCGTCATCAATTTATGATCATAGAAATCACACACCCTCTATGTAACAATCGTCCCAATGGAAGAGCCCAGGAAAGCCAAGACCAAAAAAGTACGCCAAGTTTGAATAAGTGTCAATCATCATTGCTTGTTCGTAATTTTTTGTCCAAGAACAAGACCGTAATCATGCCTCAGCCACCGTATTCACCAGATTTGACCCCCTGTGACTTTTTCGTCTTCCGAAAATTGAAAAGACCCATGAAAGGTCGGCGTTTTGTCATGATTGAAAAGATAAAAACCGAATCGCTAAGAAAGCTCAAGGACATACCAAAAAGTGCATATCAGAGAGAAAAAACGCTGACATGGACTACTTTGAAGGGGACAAAATAGAAAGTGATAAATAAATAAATATTTCTTGATGAAAATTGAAATTCACCTCATTTTTTGAACATACAGCGTAGACGCAAACCGGAACCAGAGTTATCATTACAGGAATATTTCCTGAATTTCAAATTGTATGCTGTTTGAAATTATTTCTCAAGTACACCTATAAATTGGTTTTGCATTGTTGAAATTGAATCAATGCTGACGTCAGACGATATTGACGTCATTTTCACAATCTGGCAAATACGCATTTGCTAATTTATCCAGCTTATGAACTGTATCATTCAAAAAAAATTATTGTTATGGTGCATTCAGTGTCAAAACAATTGGTGTTGTTTCAGTTACTATTTATATAAACAAGAAATTGTTTGCTTTCAAGACATTATTTTCCATGATCAGTTTGATGACAAAATAATTGAAAAATTCCTCTGGTTGCAATACCAAAAAAACTCTTCAGTTTCAAGTCACACAGACTCGATCTTTCGAACGTTTCTCATATCTTGATTTCTTCACAATACGATTCTGATTCTGAATGAATGGGGGCAAACTCTCTCATGATGGTGTGAAAATATATCATTTTTTAATAATGAGTTGCCATTGAGAAAGAATATTTATTATTATTTTGCCTGAAAACGCAGGCTCTTTCCGTACGTAGCATCATATTTTAGGTATTCCAGAAGACGATAAAATCGCTATGCATAAAATTCACGAGATTATCTTTGAAAATTGTAATATATTATATGTTGGTCATACCGAATAAGGCATAAAACTCGTTTCAAGGAACACAATAGATTTGGAACGGAGAACGAAGTCATAGAATCTTTGGAGTTGAAGACGAACTGTTTTGAACCTTTGGCGTAGTAATTACTGGAGTTTTTTCTCAACACCAAACAGATATATTTAACAGCTCGACACGTGTTTCGATCACCAAGTGAACATCTTCCTCTTGAAAATGATCACTTGGTGACCGAAACACGTGTCGAGGTGTTGAAAATAACTATTTGGTGTTGGGAAAAATCTCCAGTAAAATTTGGAGTGAGACGAAGTTGATATGAATATGATGATGCCAAGCTGCAGTGATGTGATAAAATATTAATCGCAAAATCAAGGTTTCAAAAAACAATAACAGAACTGTTATTCGAAATACATCTTGTGAATTTACGTGTCATTGATGATTGAACATACCACAAGGTTCACCCCACGTATAATAATCGAAACCATCATTAGGAGATTTTGCTGTTTCGGGGAACAGTCACGTTTCTGATTTATTGCTGGAAGTTCGCAGTCCAACCTCCAACCATAAAATACGAAACCGCAGAGTTTGTGCTAAGAAAAATTATTACAAACTCGCAGGGATCTTTATAGCTGTTCCGCGAAAACTCCGTTTACAAACGTGCCGTATTTTTATAATAATTATCATAAACATTACGCCTAACAACGAGTAATTATCAAGGATTTTACACGTTCGAAATTTCCCTAGAAAATATATCGAATAAATAATAATGAATCATCAACAGTTCTGCAAGCGCCAATATTTATCTACTACTCTCTCAGTTGCGGAATTTACGCTGACTTAACGTTACAACAATTCCCGTCAGGTGGATTATTTCCACGTGTGCATCGATAAAAAATTACATAACATGTGAAAGATTTTCAAAGCTAAGCAAGTGGCAAAGTGATTTTTTCAAGAGGAATTCGAATATTTTTGATTTTACACAGAATAACTAACTTGAAAGAAACATGGAATTGAAAAGAATCTACCCGGCTTGTTCTATGGTAGCTTTCCACTTCAATTGGGCTTAGAATACTTCTTGACATTCGGGAGAATCATTCCTATTTCTTCTATATAATCATCAGCAGTTCGTGTATTCACTAGTTGACGGAGTCACTTTTACAGTACGTACTGAGACAATTACTGTTTTGAAATCCGCACTGTATTTAATAAATAACTGAAGCCCAAGTTTATCATAACATCCAACCTCTGCCTCACACAGACTGAATTTGGAGGCCAAGAAAGCCCACATGGTTTGCTGTACTGTTATAGTAAGCACCATGTCTCCGATCATCAAATTCAATTTAAAAAAAAACGATAGAAGAGTGCAATCACTTGAAAATTCGAGAATCAATGGACAAAATCCACAGGCTCTACCCAGAGCAATTTGTTTAAGGGCTGGTTCTCGACGTGAAGTCTTGGTTGAATGAATATGGTCGATATAGCCATATAGTTTGTCTGCAACAACGATAGCAATACTATTCATAACAGAATATTTCCATAGATGGGAGATCCAACCATAAGTATTGCTAGATGGTAGCTTTGATGGCCACGAGATTGTGGGACTAGAGTTAAAGTAAAGTACTGGATACGTCAATTTATCAGGTGAGTTTCAATCCTACCAATATCCATGAATATTGTGTAAGAGAGGCCCAATGGGCCTCTCTGACGCAATATACAAGGAATGTAAAATGAAGAAGTTAAAAATCTCTTGACCACTACAGAACACAGGCAATAGAACAGACAATTTCGCTTTCTGCTTCGATAAGTTTGTTGGGGGTCAAAATGGACACCAATATGTCTTGGCACAATCACGTCACTGAAATTGCAAAAGCTTGGGACACTGTTCCAAACCTGAAAACTGTACAAACGTCAGCAATTTTTAATACTTTATAAAGCTTAGAACAGATCTTTTTTGGAATAATGTCTCTCCTCTATATATAATTTCACGGGAGGTGTTCAAGTGACTTGGCACATTTGATTCCACCAAGAGCGGGAATTTCAGAAATACGCGACGGACTGTGGCTACTTATCGTTTTGAGGTTCAACTCAGTACACCTCGAACTCCACTGTTTAAAAACGCTTCCATCTAGAGAACTGCGTTTATGTGGAATAAACTTCCTGAGAACGTTTTCCCAAATCAATTTAATGTTCAGCGATTCAAATCCAATGTGAATCGCTACTTTCGCACAGGCCCACTCTCAGAGCGCCTTAAAGATTTTTCTGTAGTGCTTGTGTTTTGTCAAAAAAAACAGTAACAAATTACGCTTGTCAACAAGGCAGATTGGCCATATTTCCACGAATTTGTATCTGTGCAATAAAATCTGAATCAACTGCTGTTAAAATTCTCCATTTAAAGAAACCATAATGTTATCTGATCATTTGATGCTTCTGTAAGACCTTTCTTTCATTTTTTGACAATAAATTATCAGCTGTACAATTCTGAAGTTAACTCTTCACAGTGAGCCTTCAAATTTACGAGCCCAAAAATTTTAATGATTTTTAATTGTTCACATTAAATGAAAAATTTGTATGTATTGTATTTCGGAAATTATGAATGTGTTATAAAGCTTCAGTACAATTTACGTTGACAACCTATTGATTTGAATCAGATATAAGAAAATAAATAGCATCTGAGTAAATTAAATGCTCGATTTCATCAATGAATGAATTGATGTATAAAACGATTAAAACTGGTCCGAAGATGGATCCTTGCGGACCACTGAGGTTGGTTATCATGATACGCAACAATTTGAATATCCTCTAGAAAATATCGCAGCACCCTGGTATAATGTTTCGTACGAACTATATTCTTTCGAAGGCCATTCGAGAATTGTTGACGATTCCACTAAACAAAATATCGAATTTACAGTTGGCAATACTCACCGATAAATTCGAAGGCTTCTTCGAAATACTGCTTTAGGTTTTGATGTCCTGAATCGGTGGCCGGTATTTGTTTGTAGGTGATGCCGCATTCTTCGTGATAGCCGGGAAGTTGTGAGGTAACGTTGAGAACGCAGGTGGTACCGAGGCCTCGCAGACACGAAAGATCAGCTGCATCCTTGCTGTTGCCCAGGTACAAAAAGGGTAAAACTTTAGATGCGGGATAGGAATCCACATCTGCCAAGGCTGGGCAAGAGGCCGAAGATGGCAGTCCGCGGTTCGATAAACCGGACACAAGCGTGTCTTCGCAGAGTTCTTTGTGCTTCCGATGGAATTCCCTGTGCCCTCCTGGAAACGGAGAAAATGTTTCTTTTATTGAAAATTTTCGCTAATATATTAAAGAGGTTGATTTCGGGTGTAACGAACTCAGTTTCTTGATAGTGAAAAGATCAATGCTCATATTATAAACTGTATTCCATATAATTGTCATGTTCGCAGTTTGTATCGTTGTTACAGATTATATATAATCCTGTACAAAAATTACATAACCATTACCGTGTTAGGAATCACACATTAAAAGGTAAGACCTCGTTAGTCCTTGGCTCGCACAAGTTTCTCAACTTCTGAGAGTTGTCGTTCGTATGGGGGCGGCAGCTGATTAATGGAAAAAACAGATTTTAAACGGAACAGATATATGCTTGTATTGCATATTTCTGCACGAGGCAAGGTAATTTTTTTTTTGAATGTTTTATGTTTGGAGAGGTGCAAACCGATCGTGTCTAGTGAACTGAAATATTCGATTTTCTTTTGATATAAAAACATTGGCGAATAGATGATATATGAGTATTTTGAGTAGAATTGAATTTTTATTAGAAGTGGTAGCTATATAGTTTCGGACCTATATAAAAAATGCTGTGTTAAGAGTCAATTTTTCTAAACAGCGGTATTTCAATCGATTGGTTCGTGATTAATCGGGTTAGAATTGTTTTATTTTATAGTTAGCACATGTAACGTCTTAATGGGGAATGTTCCTCAATTTGGGTTATTACAGCAAATGCAAGTTTGAACAAAATAAAGTTGAGTTCAATTCATGAGTTTTACAAATTCACTTCGAAAAGTATTCAAATTGATGTTTCAACTGTTTGGTTTTAATATTTAAAGGGATTTGCCTATATCAAGTTGAAATAATGTATACGTACCTAGATATTCTACTTTAAAAAAGGAAAATTATCTTTATAAAGCAACAATTAAGGCAAAATATTAATTATAGTTCAATACCACCTCCACAAGCCACATAAACGACAGTTGTTTTGTTATTTATTTATATAGAGGAAGATAGGTTAGGTGCACAAAATGTGAATGTGAATTCTGGGGATATTCAGTTCTCAGATTGTTTGAGAAAACATCCGTATCTTATGAATAATGATAATAGTGAATCACTACAACTACAGCACAGGTGTGTGTGAGTCAGCTACAGTGTCACCAACTTATATCTTTGTTTTCCCTAGAAAACATCCACAACTGTGAAGAAGAAGATAATATCTATCAGTTTTAACACTCAACTGATAAATAGTTATAACTGCTTCATTCTTTTATATGAATCATTGGTTCGTGATGGGTTGTGCCTTAGTTTCAGTTTTTATCTCAAAAACACCACACTTGTAACAGCATTTTACTTCAATTCATGAAGTTGTAATAAATTTTCATATTACAGTATCATCATCATAGTCATAGTTTGGTTATTCAGGTTCCATTGGTCTTGTTGTGGAGAAAATCAAGTCTAACAAACATCAGTGTAAACATCATCATCAGTGTAAACATCAGTGTAAAAGTTAACCATCTGGGTCACCAAGCTGGGCATACAAAATACCCATATTGCTTGAGTCTGTAAAACAGCAGAACTAGAGACTGATCACTTGGGAAAAAGAAACCGGCCAGTCAGGGAGAACAAGGCAGTTGTTAAAAAAAATAATTCAAGCACCTCCGAAACGCCGCGCCAAGAATTTTTTTTTTTGCTNTACTGTACTCTGTTTTCACTCCATACTTTTCACTATGAGGAATCAACAGCATTACCCCACAGAATCGCACCATAGCTGATCACAGAATGAAATAATCCAAAATAAACATTTTTTAACATGCTCGAATTGAGGCAGTACCTGAGCTGTCTAAGCAAAAATAAGAGACTGGATAGTCTCTTACTCAATATATCTATATGAGGAGTCCAGTTCAAACGATCATCTAAAACAACCCCAAGCAATTTACAATGCTTACCTAACGTGATCTGATTATTACAGGAAATTATGAGGTTTTGTGTCTTCCCTTTATTCAGTCGAAGGTTATTGGCAGAGAACCAAGCTTCCGCTTTAGTCATCAAGGTTTCAGCATTATCAAGAAGACGTAAAATGTTGCTGTTTGAACTGATGAAAGAGGTATCATCCGCAAATTGGACAATTTGACATTTCGTCCTCATGTGACAACATAGGTCATTAATGTAGATGATAAACAACAGGGCTCCAAGAACAGAACCTTGCGGTACTCCATGTTTTATGATTTTCAGTTCTGAATCAGAACTGTTGTTAAGATGGACAAACTGTTGTCTACCTTCTAAGTAAGACTTGAACAGGTTCAACGGCGTGCCTCTAATGCCATAGAATGTAAGTTTTTCTATTAAAAGTTCGTGTGAAACACAATCAAAATTCGGAAATCTTGCACCCATTATTTTGAATTAAAATCTGTCAATTAAGTAAATCTGTTTTTTCAATAAATACTGTGCCAATAAATCTTTTTTTTTTTGTTTTTTTATGTCAGCATATAATCCCTTATTTCAAGAGCCACCTAGTGTAAGTACGGTAGCTGATAGAGCAACACTGATACTATTTATGGATTCAGCACATCATAGGTATGAATTCTACAGCACCAAAACATGTGCTGCCCTGTTATTCATCTCCTAGGTGCAGACCTGATACCACCTCGTATGTAACGGTTCCCCAAAATCCGTGGAAACACACTACTTTTCAAACGAACTTCGACCCTCAAACCAGTGTTCATATTTTCCAGATAAGGCGCATGGGTGACTCAGACTGCTTACAAATTCAGATTCTACATTTAAAATTCCTATGCCCCTTTAGTGATAATCACAAACGGAACGATAATTCATTTGAATGTCATTTGAATACGTTTTAAACGAATGTGTAGCCTATTTTATGTCATCGTAATGGATAATTAAATATTTGTCGGGCCACGTGTACAACTTTTCATTTGAATGCACGCAGTAAGGATATTTGATTGAATACAGGGTGAGCCAAGGTGACAGGAAGTGAGGATGTTATATGCAGAAAGAGTTACTATACGCAGAAAATGGTTTTTTTGTACTGGTTGCCGAATGTTATTGGTTGAAGATTGTAAGGGGTTCCAAAAATAATTTTCAGTCTCCACAACTCTAAAGAAATCGAAAGTATGCCTTTTATTATAGTAACCTCAAGAGTAGGTCTAAATATTCACAAACACAGTAGCAAATTTTCAATGTGACATGTGAAATTTTGTCTTTTTACTATGCTTTCTGACATACTGTTTTCAGAAAATAAAATAACCAAATTTTTTGTTGGAGATTGAGCATCATCCACAGTAAAGTGTACACAGTGTATTCCACAAGAAGCTATAAAGTGTATGGTATCCATATTCAACCTAAAGAAAAGGAAATAGCAGTTCCTGCAAAGTTTGTCAGCTGTACAAAACTTTGAGCACAGTTATAATGCACACTGCTTTTTGAATGTTATGATGGCTCGTTAAAAAACTCGAAAGCCTTGTTAGCAACACTTAGAAATCTTGAGTATTCAGGCACTTAAAACTGGTACTGGAGAAGTTTGCATACGAATGTTAATGTTGGATTTGAATTATTTAGTGATTGCAGATGTAGGGTTACCGTCAGTGTTGTTATTCTTCAAATTGAATGAAGTAATATAAAAATAAAAGAAAAGTCTATATGCGAATTGACGAAATTGATTTAATTTAGCTAATTTCATCATATAGTTTATTGAAAGAAAGCAGTATTAAATATAAAAATGTGCCTCTCGGTTGGTCAAATAGTCACGGATAACAGAGAAGTTGACTATTACCAAAAGCTCACAAACTTCAAAAACCTTGGTTGCAATATGAGTATGAAAGTGCATGACTTGCATAGCCAGTTGAACCGCTTTTCTAACAATCTGAGTGAATTATGAAAAATGAGAAATAGACATTTCATGTTTTTTACAACTTTTATTTATAACTATCGATACTACAGTTTCGTCCTATAATAATATTGTATTAGTTTGAAATAGGACGAAACTGCGGTAACGATAATTACAAATAAAAGTGGTAAAAAAATATAAAAAGTCTCAATTCTCATTTTTCATAATGACCTCCTACCACGTACTACATAAATCAATTTATTATCTGAGTAGAGGAAAGAAGAAACATCCAAATGAAGGCTGATCACTGTTAAGCTGAGGGCACGAAAATCGCGACGGCCAAGCGATTGCGACCGCGGGGCGGCGCGACGCGATGAGGAGAATCATCTTGCGTGAGCCCGAATTATTATTACCTAGAGATGGTGTTCATTCAATAAATGAAGGAAGACATCATTTTGGCGAATTTTCTACCCTTTATTACGAGCTAAGGTGAACTTTTTTACTGTCCCATAGGGCAGGTTTTGACAAAATACACGAGATGAATTCTTCATTTATCACTTTCCATTTGGTATTGGTATCATAGTATTTTCTACACAACACTACTGTAATCGCGAGCGACCTAATCACATTAGTTTGTTCTCGTCGCTTCCGCGCCGCCGTCGCTCTCCTCCCGCCCGCTCGATGTTGTATGCATCGCCACCGTTCCGCCGTCGCTTCGCCATCGCTCGGCCGTCGCCATTTTCGTGCCCTCAGCCTTAGAACCTACAGAGAGACTGCGAGAAAACGTATTACATTATAGATAGATAGATATCACAATCACATAAATTGGGTAATACACGTCAAAATTGAATTTTTGTCTGAATAAACTCGTCTCCAGAATAAAAACAATGTTCGAGAAGATAATTTTTTACATTAATTTTGAACAATTTCTCGTTCATGGATCTAAATTCGCAGGGCAATTTATTATATAGTTTAAAATCTAATGAATTTTTCTCAGATTTGGACAACCTGTAACGTGGCAATACTAAATCATCAGCCGTAGCAGCCCGGGTAGTGTAATGATGCAGGCCAGAAACTTTTTGTATATTCTGCCTTTCTGAATGGATTTCTAGTAAATTTTGGTATATATACACACAAGGGAGTGGTAGAATCCNAATGACATTTTTCAAAATAAATTTG